GAAGAAGAAAAACACAGAAAGAAACGACTTATCTGTTTGGCAGCCAAGCCAGTCACAGTGTGGTCATCTTGAACTTTCACAGTCATTTTGAAGGTAAGAGGGCAGTAGGTGGGTGCAGAGGCATACCACTTACTGATGAACAGAAAGGGGTGTTTGTTTGTTTTTTCCTTCTTGTACCCCGCATCACCTTGTTGACTAGAGGTGTGTCTGGCACCATTCATGTACATTTCCAGGGATCCTCCTCCTCTCCGGGCTGTCAAAGTTACATCAAAGTGTTTTGGGAGCCAACAGCACACCCCCACTCTCAGTACCTGGAGTCAGGTGTAGCCTATTCCAGACCTGCATAAGTAGTTCTGGTCAGTCCTAAACTATAGTGACCTCTCACCCTTGACGCCCATCAAGGACAAAAATACCCTGATTATCAAGCTGTTTGGGGGTCTGCACGAGTTTCTTCCAGATTGAGTGTGCAGAACAGCACTTGCCATGGGAACACCATCTAGGGGAATGCTACCATCTCATCCCTTACCCACACACAATGTAATGTCTGTGGCCAGTAGGAAACCCCAGAATTCTCTCCTGTCTGGGTGTGGCATCTACATTCTTTTTAAAAAAATTTCCCTTTTTGATCACTCTTTCTCCCTTGCCTTTGTATTCTTTACTTTCTCTCCATTCTATCTCCCCTTTCATTTCTTCCTTTTTTTGTTTTTCTGCTTCTCATTCCCAACCACTGTTGCGTCTTTCTTTCATTTATATTTTTGTAATCCCTCTTTATCGATTGATTGTTACTACTCTCTGGTCTCTTTCCTTTTTACTTATTGCTTTCTCTAACTACACTTAGGTCTTTTTCTTGTCTATCTTTTCTTTCCTCTTTTTGGTGTTTACCTGTGCTTTATTGACTACGCAAAGGCTTTCGATTGTGTGGATCATGACAAACTATGGACAACATTGAGAAGTATGAGTATTCCAGAACACTTAATTGTACTTCTAAGAAATCTGTACCTAGACCAAGAAGCAGTTGTTCGAACAGAACATGAGAACACTGAATGTTTTAAAATTGGGAAAGGTGTGAGACAGGGTTGTATTCTTTCACCATACTTATTCAACCTGTATGCTGAGCAAATAATACGAGAAGCTGGGTTCTATGAAGAAAAACGTGGCATCAGGATTGGAGGAAGACTCATTAACAACCTGCGATATGCAGATGATACAACCTTGATCGCTGAAAGTGAAGAGGACTTGAAACATTTACTTATGAAGATTAAAGAGCACAGCCTTTGATATGGATTACATCTCAATGTCAAGAAAACAAAAATCCTCACCACTGGACCAATAAACAACATTCTTATCAATGGAGAAAAGATTGAAGTTGTCAAGGACTTCATTCTTCTTGGATCAACTATCAACAATCGCGGAAGTAGCAGTCAAGAGATCAGACGACGTATTGCACTGGGCAAATCTGCTGCACAGGAACTTTTTAAAGTATTGAAGAGCAGAGATGTCAGCTTGAGGACTAGGGTGCGCCTGACCCAGGCCATTGTGTTTTCAATAGCCTCATATGGATGCAAAAGCTGGACAGTGAATAAGGAGGATCGTAGAAGAATTGATGCCTTTGGGTTGTGGTGTTGGAGGAGAATACTGAAAGTGCCATGGACTGCCAAAAGAACCAATCGATCTGTTTTGGAAGAAGTGCAGCCAGAGTGCTCCTTGGAGGCCAGGATGGCTAAGCTTCGTCTCTCCTACTTTGGACATATTGTCCAGAGGAAACAGTCATTGGAGAAGGATGTAATGCTGGGTAGGGTAGAGGGTCAGAGAAAAAGAGGAAGACCCCCAACAAGATGGATCAGCCAGGTGGCATCATTGATGGACTCAAGTGTGGCAGCGGTAGTGAGGTTGGCCCAGGAATGAACATTGTTTCGTTCTGCTGTGCATGGGGTCACTATGAGTTGGTTCCGACTCGATGGCACCTGACAACAACAACAACAATATATATATATTAATGATTGCAAGCTCCTTCATGGAACAGGAGACATCTAATTCCTTCCTGTGGCTCCTATTTCCCTTCACCCACTTTCCCATCCCTTCTTGTCGTCTTTAGGTACATGCTGTTCCTATGATTTTGAATGATTGACTGTTCCATCGTTCATAGTGAGCATATCTTGCTTTGTTGTCTACTACTTGGCTGGAGTCCTGGGGTGTGGTGCTGTAGGATAAGCACTGGACCACAAGGGCAGTTTGAATCACAAGGATGACCATTCAAATTCACCAGTTACTTATCAGAAACCCCATACAGGGTTGCTATGAGTCAGAACTGACTTGATGGCACTAAACAACAACAACTCATTGCCGGAAAGTTGTCCCCCCTGTATATCTATCTACTGCCTTGTTGAAAAAGGGTGTGTCCCTTTGCAGACCTGAAGGGCAGTCAAGGGCCACAGTCTCAGGTTCCTGCAGTCTTTTTCTGTCCAATAAGCCTTGTCTTTTTTTCTTTTTTAAAAAATAATTTTGAGTTTTGTTCCACACATTATGTTGTTTTATCCAGGAACTTTAAATGTGATCCCATTCAGAGCAATTAGTACTGGTAGCTGGGCACCATCTAGTCCTTCGGTCCTCAGGGTCGTGGAAATTGATGCACACATGTTCCAGTAGTTGACTACACAAGTGGATTTCAAGCATCTTCAATTCTCATCACTCTACTTTCTTCCTCACATGGGGAAACCAATAGCTGCACCTTTGATGGCTGTTCATTACCTTTTAGTATCCCAGCTGTTACTCACCAACGTAGGATGCAGAACTCTGACTTTGTATACTAGGTCATTTACTGAGATACAGACATGAAGAAGTGGCCTTGAGAAGATTGTGATTGTACCTTCAGTTAAATAGAAGGAAGAAAAGAGTGTGGTTGCATTCGGTAGTGGAGAGATGATATAATTTTCTTATTACTTTTACTTTTTAGTAAAATAAGTAAAAGTCATCAGTGGAAAGTGAGAAAAATAAAGCATGTACAATTCAAGGAGAAAAGAAAAGGTGTAAAACAATCATCACTGAGCTTTGGGGGTTAAATTCAAAGTAAATGTAGTGGGAAGTCACTGGACAGCACTAAGAGTTCCCTTAAGAGCTTTTATCACAAATACTAAGTATGACTATTATGCAAATTGAAATTGAATGCTTCTCTCCACTCATGTTCAGATTCTCAAGTGAGGTAAAATTTAGGAGGTAGATTTATGTGTAATTCATGGTGTTTAACAGTATTATATGAAATAGATAGACAGAAAAGTGAGGGTAACAAAAAACTGATTTTAATTTTGGACCATGAAATCTAAGTCAAGTGTATCAGAAAGTTAGGGAATGAGAAGGAGATGAAGAGTGAAAAGACTTGGGAACAATGGGATAGATGAGATCATAAACATCAGCATGAGAGTACAAGACTATGCGAATTGGAAAGGAAAGGTGATGTTTGTACAGCAGAATGTTTAATGATGAGATTTTTGGTGTATTAGATATAATGTTGTTATTGTTAAGTGCCATTCCAACTCATAGCTACCTTTTATAGGATTTCTGAGGAGTGGCCGGTGAGTTTAAACAGCCAATTTTGCTATCAAACCAACATTGCAGTTGAGAGCTTATTCTACAGCACCACACAAGGACTCCATTATATATAATGGTAATTAAAAATTTTATAATTTTTAATTATATAGCCATGGAAATTTGTTTGTTACTAGGAGTAAAGAAGTCAAGCAACTGAAATGGCATTTTTGTATGGATCTCGTGTGAAAATCCTCACAAGTAATAGATGAGACAGACAGGTGATCAATGTCTGTTCAAAACAGGAGTGATGGATGAAGTTGTTTTATGGCCTGTGTTTCAGTTTTTGAAGATGAGAGAAAAAACAGTCTAGAAGTAGTCAGAAGAACACATACCCATCTCGAAAACTCTGTGTTAAGTGGAAGAATACATACCCCTCATGAAGACCCTGTGTTAAGTGGTGTTTAAGAAAAGCCAGTCACTAGTTGAAAGAACTGTTGGGAAGCAACAGCTGGAATGAATAGAAAGGCTTGATTGAAAACCTGTACAAGGGTGGATTTGGCTTTTAAGAAATGAGTTGGGATATTTGAAATTCTGTTGCATAAAGAATTAAAATCATATGATGGAATTTTTTTCTTATGGAAAAGTTGATGATAATAATAATGAAATTTAGCATATTATCAATATGTTCCTAGCACCATTCTAAGAATTTTACTTCTGTCAGCCCATCCTAACCTTCCTAAATACCATCATTATCCTCATTTTACAGGGGAGGAAATAGGAAGATTAAACAATTTGTCTAAGATTGCTAATGAGTTGTTAAGCATTGTGTCCAGAGCCCATGCTCTTAAGTGCTTAGTTTCTTGATTATTTATTATTATTTTTTTAATTGGTGAGATGATGAAAGATGGTTCATAGCAGTGATATTTTTACCAGAAAAGCTCAGAGATCTGTGAGCTGCTCTTAAACCCTACTGCAAGTGATGTCGAACCAAGAGTAGCATAATCGCATTGAGAAAATATGAAGACCCAATGCCCTCTTATTTCCACCTCTTAAATCAAGCCTTGTGGTGGTCCTTCATATATAACTATGGGTTAGGTCACAGTCCTATGAAGAGAGCTCTTTATGGATTCTAGTAAGAGGAAGAGCTTAGAAAAGTCAAACCAAAACCCAGTTGGTGGGTTTGAACCACTGACCTTGGAGTAAGCAGTCCAGTGATTATCCTAGAACACCACAGGACTCCAATGTTATTTGGCAAAAATGTCAAGTATTTTAACATTTTTGTGATTGCTATTTTTTAGTGTCCTCAAGTCAGTTCTGACACATAGTGACCTTGATAGGGTTTAAACTGATCTGCTGACCCAGTGCTTATCCTACAGTGTCTTAACAGGACAATTTTAGATGCCCATAACTGTTTTGAAAACTCACAAAACATATTGCATGTGAGTTAATTAACATATACACCAATAATGCACAACTTTTCATGCTCAAGATTGAGATTTATTTGAAAACATTTAGTCCATTTCATATTAATGCAGAAAAATCACATTCAACAACCACAATTGTAGAAGAGACACAGTAGCTGTGCTCTGTTACATTTTCACATGAATATAATTTAATATTAAAGTAAAGGGTCATAAATCACAATCACAAGTAAATAAAATAGCTACTCTCAGTAGTAGTAAGAACCTCTTTTGAGTATGTAAGGTCTTCTAGGTTTATTTTCATAAAGCTGCCGTTTCAGAATATAAGGAATTTTTCTCTTTATAACTTCTTCCTTCTCATTTTTGTCATTTCCAGTAACCAGAATGCCATCTTGAATTAACTGCAATAGAAATAGAATGTAAATGAAACTTACATGCACAAAGTCTTAAGTTTCAGATATTTTTCTATATTTTATTTCATTTAATAGTCACACAAGACTGTGGATCCGAGATAAGAGCTTCTAAGATATTAAGTGCTTTGTAGAAGTATATGGCTAGTAAGTGGTTGCAGTAGGATGAGAACATTTCTGTTCAGTTGTCTTCCTAGTTCCCCAAACTAGTCTCCCCGCTTTCTTTATTTCTACATAGAGCAAACCAAAACCAAACCCAAAACTCATTGCCATTTAATCAGTTCAAAGGTTAAATTTTTCCCTCCAAATGGAAGAGCACACCAAACACACTTTTGAGTATTTTGTAGGCTCCAACTAAATAAATGGTGGCAAATTCAAAATGGTATGGTAACATCGTGAGTTACAATTTAAGAGTTTTGAATCTAGTAAAGCAAGTTTGGCTGCAAACATAAACAGGATCCTAAATTCAATTAAGTAGATTACTTAGTTGACTTAAAGGTCAGTCCAAGGCTTCAATTCTCAATTGTGAAGACAGAAATGCCAAAAATCTGGTACTTACTCAGATGCAGAAATCAAGCATAAGCAAAATCTTAGTTTAAATTGTACAGATCTCTGTAGCATTTAATAAATCCTTCTAACAAGTAAAAACAAGTTCATATCAAATAATCCAAGGAGTTGACTTCCATGTAGAAACTTACTACTAATTAACTGAATATGCCCCATTGGAAAATCAATTGTAACATCTTATTTTTCTGATAATACTTTTGTGATTCAAGATTTTCAGCCAGCATAAAATATTTAATAATGTTTTCCAGAATTTTAAACACAATTTATGTCCAATTTTAATAAAATATTCAACCGGAAGGTCAGTGGTTCAAACTAGCCCTGTACAGAGTTGCTGTGAGTCAGAATCGACTCAAGGGCATTTTAAAACAACAATGCTTTGAATAATATGGACATTTTATTTTAAGTCTCTCAGTGCTTCTAAGGTATTGTTGTTGTTGTTGTTAAGTGCCGTCGAGTCGGTTCCGACCCATAGCGACCCTGTACAGGGTTTCCGAGGGTTTAAATCCTTAAGGGAGTAGAAAGCCTCATCTTTCTCCCGCGGAGCGGCTGGTAGTTTCGAACTGCTGACCTTAAGGTTCGCAGCCCGATTCGTAACCACTACGCTACCAGAGTATTAGAAGGTTCAATCTTACATATACTTTGTTTGTTTGTATGACCATTACTTTAGGTGTTTATCTTTTTGTTTGTTTCTGGTTATATAGCACATGGTTGGCATTTCTCTATATAAAAATTAGTAATTTTGAAATGCATTGACCTAAAAATATTTTAAAGATAAAACCATTTAGCTGAGACTGGAATCAAATTTTAAATAATCCAGCAACCAAAATCAAAATTGGTCTTTTGGGTTCCTCATTTTGAAAATATCTTTTTCTTTACAAATTCAAATAAAAACTAAATATTCAGCTTTGCATTTCCTCTTTTAAAAATATATCTTTTTGTAACAGAGATTACTGTATTGTTAGGGAAGATACTGACAGATTCCAATGTTTGTGCAATTCCAGAACATGAAACACAATACAAATTTCTCTCACAAATCAATGTGGAACAAATATTACCCCGGCTGGAAAAACGTAAAGACATTTCCTCTTCTTTTTTTTTTTTTCTTTAAAGCCTTTTGATTTATTTTACCCATTTTCTTTAACCCCAATAATTTTCAACATAGTTATAGTTTATCCTTGAAAGCAACATATGTTGTTTAGGGAATAAATTACAGTCCTTTGAAAACACATTATTACTAACAATAGTTAAATCACTTAATTTTATAAATAACATACACTTTAGAAATGTTAAGGCACATTTAAAATTATGCCTTTAATAAATGCCATACTTAATTTTTTTTTTTTTTTCAGTAGGGTGGACTTAAAGCTAGTCTATAGGGAAATAAAGTTAAAATCAGATATCTAAGTAATAGTACTGTACGTGAGCATTCAAATTGTGTGTCCAAAAAGGAAAACACCTTAAAATGTCTTTTTCAGAGCATCTAAACTGAAATATAGATAAATATAACTTTTGTAGTTATGTATGTTTATCAGAGTAGAGGTAGTACAGTCTGAATTACTTTATTACTCTATTTATTCATAAATTTGATACTTAAGATCTTGAGATCCCAGGGCACAGTTATTAATTGCTTCCAAATAAAAGATGGGGTTTAAAGGACTGGCTTTGGACATTAACTAGTACTAGTTACATTTCATCATTGAAATATATTTAAAATTATTCACAAAAACTATCAGTTTTTCATTTTTTTTTATATAATGGAGTTGACTGTCACAGACATAGGCTAGTGGCTAAGGATGCCTGAAATAATCAACATTCAATTGAAATATATATGTTTATTTGACTTTATTATTTAGATTTCCCTGGTGTGGTACTGTAGGAAAAACACTGGATCGCTAGCCACTAGGTTGGTAGTTTAAACCCACCAGCTGCTCCCTGGAAGCTCTAGACAGGGTCACTTTAGTCAGAATGACTTGATGGCAATTAACAACAACAACAACAATCTTTTCAAACTCAGATTGAACCATTCATATTTTATATCTATTTATAGATGTACACATGTGACCTCATGTTTTTGAGAAAACATTCTGAGTTCCTGAAATTTCATAGACACACCATCACCACCCCCAACAACAGCAAAAAACCTGACTAAGCATGCTATCCATTTAAGCATGATAAAGCATATGGATCAAATCTGTCTTAAAATATATCCCTCTTTTAAGATTCAAGAAAAATATTTTGCTAAACTCCAAATATTTGAAGAACACTTTGAAGATTTGAAGGAATGTTAGCCTCAACACATGGTTTATTCTTCACCAATATTTGTAAGTCTTCCTGTTATGATCATTATCAGGGTTAAAAAAGAAAAATTAGTACAAATGAGAGTTAAACCAGAAGAGCCAAATTATATTCATATTTGTTTTTGTTTTACCTCCCAGTGTTGAAAAGCCCTGCTATAACAGATTTTTTGAAGCTGGTATATTGTCAACATTGCTTCCAAGCTAAAGCCATCTAAAGCAGTGGGAAATTTCCTTCTTGTAATAAGCTCCTCCTCAGGAATCTCTCCTGTTTCCTCAGCTTGACTGTTCAGGTTATTTACAAGACTGCAAACATTCAGTAAGGTCATTTTCCAAGTGGGAGCAATTGCTTTACTGATCTAAAACATAGGAAAAACAAAGATGTAATTAAAATATGTGTGATATAAATAAAAGGTAAATTTCTATTGTATGAAGTCATTACATTTTAACTTTTATTTTTTACTTTAACTAATCTGTTTATTAATTTAGTAATTTCCTGTCAGAAAGTTGAATAGTGTCGTTATCATTTCCTTTAAGTGTGACTAACTATACACACATACATATATAGACAATATGTAAATATAACTGTTCATTTATCATTTATGAAAACATTTAAATTTTTTTTACAATGCTATCGTGGCACTGTGGGCTAATGCATCAGATTGCAAAGTCATATGAACTGCAAGGTCGGTGGTTCAAGCTCACCAGTTGCTCCTTGAAAACCCTATACAGGGTCGCTATGGGTCGGAATTGACTCGATGGCACTTAACAACAAACAGCAACATTCTCCTTTTATAACATTCCAGCTTAATGTTGGATGAAGCAGGAAATAAAATGAAACTAATAGATTTCCACAATTGCCAATATCCTTAACAAAGGGTAGGTTCTTCAAAAAGAAAATGGTGAATGGTCTTGCTAGATGCCCTTGATAGGTTTTGACTCACGCATTACAGAACTAAACACTGGTCACTCCTGCGCCATCCTATGCTTCAATGTTCCATATTCTCGTGCTGTCTGACAGTGCTCCACTGCTATCCATAAGGGTTTTTGTTGTTGTTGTTTTGCTTTTTTACTTTTTATTGTGAATTGAGTGATAGTTTACATGGGGGAACATCAATTTTATATTCACCATTTTCATTGCAATGATTCCAATTTTTGTGCATTGTCATTTAACAGCATTTGCTTCTATTCCCTCGGTTTTTGTTATTGTTTGGGATGTACACAAAAACACTCAGGAATATATAATCCTTTAAACAACCAAAGGACACATTCTGCAAAGCCTGTCTCCTGGCCACTAGCACTTGTCCACCAGCATACAGTCTTTCTCTTTCCATGATTCTAGAATCCTCCGCTGCTCTATTTCTCCATACCCCCATCTCTGTCTCCATCTCTGGTGTTGCTTCTCTGGATAGGGTCCCACATTCTGCTCTTGCTTTTCTCCCTCGATGGTCCTAGGGTCCTCTGTTCCTGTACTATAAGATTAATTACTCCCTCTTTTTGTTACAAAACTTTTGTAACAGTCGTAATTAGTATGATAACAATTACTTACTACTGAATCATAAGAATCTTATCACCATCTCCCTTCACCAGACCCATCTAGACAAAATGAATGCTATTCAGTGGGGATTCTGCCTTCCCTCACACCCTCTGAAACTAAACTTCCTCTTAAAAACCTGTAAGACAGTCACTTCATGCCTTTATAGCCCTTCCATTTTAGGTAGCCAATGTCTAAGTTGCCCATACCTATCAACCCTGTATACAGAGGGGATAGGATTGATACTTAATGTGAACACTCTTTTGCTCTGAGTTGGTATTTTGAGCTACTACATCCATAAGTATAGGTCAAGTTCATCAAATTGTAGCAATTTACACTCATTTCCTTTAACAAAAATTGTTGGATTTTTTTGTTTTGTTTTTTTTTTTATCTTACCCTAGTCAAGTTCTGATCAAGCCATTGAGGTTAGGTCAAATGGGTACTATCTGTAAGTTTGGGCATTTTTGTGTGTTCATATTAGCTTCATGCTTCACTCTCAGCTGTAGCTCTCCATGGCTATGTCCTTGTCTATAGACTCAGGAGTCCCCAGGTCTCACCACACTTTGGACCAACCAGCCCTTCCTCTTCTCTCGCTCATTTCCAGGCCAACAGGAATCTATGGAATGTGGTCAAACTCAGCCCGTATTTTCATTGCTGTCTTTCCCCCTCTTCCACCCACCAGGAGACCAATGTGGTCACCAGCAAGCCTACATGCTTGTTCATGTGTTCCCTTGTAGGTTTTCAGTGGCTAAATAATCTGCCTCTCTTTCTTCCTAATCTGTCTTAGTCTGAAAACTCAGGTAAAACCTGTCCACTATGGGTGATCTTGCTGGCATTTAAAATACTCATGGCATAGCTTCCAGCATCACAGTTGTGTGCAAGACACCACAGTATGACAAACTGACAGATGAATGGTAGAATTGAACATTTTATAAGTAAAAATAAAAAGTTAAACCTTGAATAAATGGCATGAGCAGTCAAGTCACCGATTAACTTTCACCAAAGAACTATGAAAAGAAATATGTAAAATCATGTTCAGCTTTGCTACCATCATTCTGGAAGATTTTTAAAAGAATCAGTATACTGAGTGGTAACCAAGACATAGGGAAACAGATATGTGCTTATCTGAGTGTAGATTGGTATACTCTCTCTAAAGGGAGTTTATTTTGAAAAAAAAAAAAATTATTAAAGGTAAATGTATTGATATAAATTAAATGTATAAAAAATGTGCACACTCTTTGATTTAGATTTTATACTAAAAACATGCACATCTGTGAGAATAAATGTAGCCACTATACGATTTTCAATAAAATTGAAATGTGAGAGCAACATAAATTCTAAAACTAAAAGTTTGATTAAATAAAGTAATATGAATTCATTTAGTTCTGGAAATGGAATGATATTTATGACATCTTCAAAATTAAACCATTTTCAAAGTGTTATTTAGAGGCAAAAAATGTTAATGCTAGAGTGTATATGTGTAAGAGTGTCTGAGTATATATATAAGAGGGTAACAGTGTGTCAATGCAAGCTGGAAGTATAAGCATCAAATATTAATAATGGTTACCTTATGGAATATAGGATTAACTGCCACTTAAATTTTCTCAACATTCTAATTAAAAAAGAAAAACATGATTATTTATATACTATTTCTGTTTTGGAAAAAGTTACTGTTTAGATCTTGTACCTTCCTGTTTTATTAAACATCTCAGATCCACTTATATTATTCTCCATAATTCTTTGTCTCTAGGTTATTTATGGATATAATTGGAGTCCTGGTGTGGCACTGTAGGATAAGCACTGAACCACAAGGTCAGTTTGAACTCAAATAGCCATGGTTCAAACATACCAGCCAATTCCTCAGAAACCCTATACAGGGTTGCTATGAGTTGGAACCAACTCAACAGCACTTAACAACAATAACACAGACATAATTAAGGAGTGCTGGTGGTGCTGTAGGATAAGCACTGGACTGCTAACAACAAAGTTGGCAGTTCAAATCCACCAGTCACCCATGGAAGAAAGATGAGGTTTTTCACTTCCCTATGCAGGGCCACTATGAGTCAGAACTGACTCCATGGCATCAAACAGTAACTATGTACATAATTTGTATTGATGCTTAATGATTTATTCATATCTTTATTGGTGCACAACACATAGTAGAGTCCTAATAAATAATATGGGCTCAGGCATGGTGACAATAGTGAGGTTGGCCCAGGAATGGGCAGTGTTTCCTTCTGCTGGGCATAAGGTTGCTATGAGTCAATACCACTCAATGGCACCTAACAACAACAACAATAAATACATAAAATGTGTAGATTTGCTCACTTCTATTTTGGAATCCTGGTGTGGCACTGTAGGTTAATGTGCCAGACTGCATAGCCATTTGAACGACAAGATCGGTGGTTCAAGCTCACCAGTCGCTCCTTGGAAACTCTATACAGGGTCGCTATGGATCAGAACTGACTCGATGGCAGTTAACAACAACATTTTGATTTACGCTCTCATAGCATTGTGGATTAAGAATTAGACTGCTAACTATTTGATCAGAAGTTCAAATCTCCCAGCTACTTCATAGGAGAAAGATAAAATTCTCTGCTGTCCAAATGATTTACAGCCTTTGAAGCCCTATCCAGGGACATTATGAATCAAAACCAACTCCAGGACACAAAACCAGCCACTAGCACCACCATTCATTGTAGACTAGATGTTAATTTTAGCATATAGTTTAAAAATGAGAATGAAGAGACAATATAAATTATGTTCAATACAAAACATATTTACCATATATTTTAATATTATATAGTTTACATGTATTTTAAATACTTGTAGCATGATATAGGAGTCCCGGTGTAGCCCTTTAGGGTAAGCACAAGACTACAAGGTCTGTTTCAATCACAAGGTCAGCAGTTCAAACTCACCAGCCACTCCTAAGAAACCCTATACAAGTTGCTATGAGTCAAAACCAACTTGGCAATGGCACTTAATAACAACAAGCATGGTACAATGGTACAAGTGGTTAAAATAATCATAAACAGCTAATAAATTGAAATAGTACTTTGCTGGAAATTACTCACTTTCATATTCCCATTATAAGACTGTTGTTTTTTGTTGTTAGTTACCAGCTAGTTTATTCTAAATCATGGCCTCCCATGTTGCAATGTAGAAGTATTCCATAGGGTTTTCAAGGCAGAGACCTTTCTGAAGCATACCACCAGCCCTGTTTCCATCTCTGGGAGACTTGAATTTCCAAACTTTCAGCTAGTAGTCAAATGCTTAATTGTTTGCACTACCCAGGAACTCCTCTATTATATAATTGTTCTTGCCCTGTGTCTTTAAGTAGATCTGACTCATAGTAACTCTATAAGAGAAAATAGAATTTATTTGTGGCAGTTTTATAGAAGCGGTGTTCTAGATCTTCTTTCCCTAAGAGGGACTGATAAGTTTGAACCACTGATGATTTGGATAGCAGTCACCCACGTAACCACTGTGACACTATGGCTCCTTATAATAGTCTTTAATTATTCATTTCCAGTGCCTTGACTACAAGCACTTTTATTTGGAATGGTGATGGTGAATTTCACAGTGTTTGGAATATGTTGTTCCAGAATGGAAATGAGGCCAACTGTATGAAATTTAATAGAAAAGGTAACCTTGGGACATGTTTCTCAATCTTTGGTTCTTTTTAATAAACTTGTTTTACAGGAAATGTGTCCTAGGAGCTTTTATTATTATAGTAAAAGAAATAACTACATCAACGATTATGAAAATAGCGAATGGAATTGCTTCTATATATGGCTGACACTAAGAACTGTTTAATATACA